TTGCAATAGCTATGAGGAATCTGTCCCTTCTGGTTTTATTTTAGGGCTCTTGTACTGTACTGAAATAGTTTTCATCAAAATCTCTGAGGATCAGATCCCAAGCCAAATCTCAGAAATGATACTATCATGGTCATCTGTTAGAGATCACTGGCTATGTTTTTCTAATTGAAATTTCCTTTTCTCTGACAGTATTTTCTCTTTCAGTTGGAGAGTCCTCATCATATCTCCTCTAAATTTCCTGTGAAGGTTCTCTAATTTAATTTGCAAGCCCAAATTCAACTTCTGTATCCATGCTGATGGTTTGTATCTGAGTCATTAGACAGTCTTCCTTTGAATGGAATAATATTACAATATTGGCCTATTTATATCACCTATATGTACATGTCTGGCTAGTGTTTTTAGCAATATTCATTATATGATGCATTGTCTGTTATTAGCAATAAGATGTCTCTTATTGCTAATTTTCTACCTTTGATCAGTAGAGATAGTGTTACTATTTGCCTGTCCCTCAGAAGCATTAATTCTGTTTTGTCTTTATCTGAGATCTCTGTCCAGCTTCTTACTTCTTTGCTTTTCTAAAAAGAGTATAGATTATTTTTCTTTTGTAATAGCATCTAAGATACAGCCATTTTTCTGGATTTGTACAGCTAAAAAGCTCTTCTGGGCTTTTACATTATACAAGCTTACATAAGCAACATCTTTTGCCCTGGTGCTTTGTCTTGACAGTGTTCATTCCAAATGCTGTTGCGAATAGGATTCATATAGCTTATCATTTTGATTGTGTCACACTTCTGGGTGTACTGTATTACTCTTCATGCACTCTAAGATCTGTGCTGATTTTGACAGGTGACATGACTGTCTGTCTGACAAAAGAGAGACTTTTGTCCACAAGACCCTAACAGTTATAGTGCATGATCATAGAAGATAAATTCTACTGGAAAATGTATTAAAATGGACAGGACATCATGTTGCACAAGGTTCCTCAAAGTGAACATAGAAAACATAGAAGCTCAGATTTCTGTCTCATATATAAAGATGCACCTGAGGAATTCCTTAAGCAAAACAGAGAGTGTGTCACTTGCATTTTTCAACTGGCCTGGATCCTGTGCTTCTTTTTGGGTTCTTATGCTTTATTTTATTTCTCTGCATCTTATCAGAAGAGAAGAATGGAAAGTAAAATTAAAGAGTGCTGGAGTGGTTGTCTTATGCTGTGACATCTCTTGAAAAGAGCTGAGGTAATTGTTTCGACTTTTAAGAAAGAAAAAGAGAATTGGAACAAAAAGGCTGGCTGAGGTGTATACAAGTGGGAACAGGGTTTCAGCACTCCTTATTTTGTGGCAGAAGAAGTATAACACTGCTGCATCCAAAATGGGTTGCTTGTGAAATATGACAGAGCACTCTAATCTGATGGCTACAAGTAGTTGCTGTCAGACAGTTTCTCAATAAAAGACTTATTTGTCTTAGTAAATCCTTTCTATATTATTTGAAAATAAAAGCAGTAGTAGTGCTTTGCTTTATTTATCAAAGAGGATAATGACAAGATGTCCCACCAACAAGACAGCTGTTTGTATTCTGTATAGAAGTTCATCAGTCTTGCATCTTTCCAAGGTAAGCAGTTGGATTTTTAACAGTTTTGCTAGGTATACTAGTCCAATGGATAGAAAATTCATGACCAATATTTTAGTTGCCAGTCCCAAGACTGGTGGAGAATCATTTTAATTCATTCTGGAGACTGATTAGAAGTATGGCCAGTTCCAAAAGGGAAGTATCAGTCAATGCATTTTTCATAATTCCTTGTATGGTGTGCTCTTGTGTCACAGGTACATTTAAACACAGTAAAAAAATAGATTAAAAATGTTCTCTAATGACAACATATATTTTCATACATATCTAGCTTCTTAATAGTAAACTACAATTTATTCTGCAGTAATTCAATCATTGCATTAAATTTTATGGCCCACAGATTAGTTTTCTGTTTAATGAAATTGGTGTAGTATAAAATACAAAAATTGACAAATCATGCTACCATTTTGTTAATATCTCTGAAAGTAATTAATTTAAACCAAAATGAAACTGAATCAGCTAATATGTTTTAGTAGCTGCATGTTGTATGCTGGCAAGCATACTACTCCATAGTGCTCTCTACAGCACCCTTGATGAAGAATTCTTAATTACTTTCCAGTGTTACTTCTTAAGTTTGTTAGTCAAATAGTAACATGTTTGTCTGAAGTGTATGTGATGACTACATAGCCAGAATGGTTGTGCTGGTTGGTCAAATGTCTGATGTTTTTTGGAATGAGTATTATGTATAATTATAATGAACTTTTCTTCTGAGAACGCAGAGTCTCTGCTCAGTTAGCTTCCTTCAGAAATTTTAAATAACCTAATATCCTGAGATAATCCTTTCATGTGCTAAATCCTTTGCTAAATTGTGACCAACTTGGCTGAGAGCTTCAAAATTTAATGTGGCTAGGGTAGAGATCACTGAAAGACAGCTCTGATGTGTATTTATTTTGGAAAGCAAACTTAACACCCTGACTTAACTAATAAAACCATACACATACACATGACTATATATATACATATATATATACATATTATATATAGATATATGCTACTAAAAGTAGATGGGCTGTTCCAGGTTGTATTCTTATGCTAGTTTAGGAAAAAAAAATATACCTAATATGTGTAAAAAAGCCTCTTCACAGTGGTGAATATATTATTATTAGTGAAAACTTTTCCTGCAAGATGTAATGGTTCTTCTAAGGTGATCTGCAGCAGGCCACTGGGAAAAAAAACAAAACAAAAAAAAAAAACCAAAACAGTAAAAGACTACTGTTGCTGCTCTTCAGCTTTATTCAGATTTCCCAAAAAATGCTTAAATGGAATAAATAAACTTAGTACAGGCTACAGTTAACATTTGTCATGTGTTTGATAATGCTTGCTGTGCAGATAAACTGTGAGTCTTCATTTGCTGCAAGATACAGAGTAGTTTCAGTATGTCAGAGGTGAAGTGCTATGAAATACTACACAGTGTTTATAAATGTATTGCAATTTGAACAGGGAATGCGCTACATTTGGAACAAAGCCAAAGTTTATCCCTTAAATCTGCATTTTAATGCTCATTCTATTTAATGTAACTATTAGCCTCTGTATATCATAATTCGGTGTTGCTTATCAAAGTCCTCTGGTGGCCCAGTCTATGAATCTTTCTGGTACTTTGAGTCAAAAACCCCCCTATTTTGTTAAAAACATTTTTTGATAAGGAAAAACTGGTGAATGTAGAAATTTACGTGTGCTTTGATGTTGTCATTAGATAAACCCATGCTATTAGTGTAAAATAGAAATGTAATTCCTGAGTTGGTTTAGGGGAAGTGTAGTGAAATTCATGCATCATTTGGTAATGTATTTTTTCCTGTCATATAGGAAGTATACACTTAATTGCCATTAAATCTCATGGCTCATTTCTGAAGACGTGTGAAATGAATGGATCATTCCATATCCAGCATGCAAGCAAAATTAGACTTTGTGTCCCTTTATTGTTAGAGATTTTGTGCATGTGTGTAGCCAGTTTAATTCATCAATATTATAAAAAAATCAGAACTCAGCACAGAGGTTTTATTATAAGAAAATTAGTTGGCATACAATATTAATTGAGTCTGATAAAAGGAGTAAAAGTGTTACTGATGGGTAAGTGAGCACATAGTTAACGAGAATTTCAGTGACTAATAAAGTCCCTATTAGTGTTTTGACTATTTGACTGTGTTTTTGCACTCTTCTTACCACATACAAATTATGGCACATTGCATAATTTTGCTACCAAATAAATATATTTATTTTTCTAAGACAATGTTTAACCTATGTCCTCTAAGCTAAACTGTATTTGGGAGTCATTTTCAAACAGTGGTATGTTCTGTATACAGAATTAATAGATTTTGTTACTTACTTGGAAGTTGTGGAATGAACTGAACCTGCATTTACTGCATTTTCAGATTTTCAGTTTCTTCAGTCAAGGCTGTACACCCAAAACTTGGAAGTAATTTTTCTTTCTAATACTAACAAACAGTTGTAGTCTGTCTCCATTACAATTTTCTTATATTTTAGGTAACCTATAGCTAATGAGAATTAGGTTGTTAATGTGTGGCCTCTCTGCTTCTGGTTTAATTACTTTGCAAATACTCATTAAAATATCTTGGCTGTTTCTGGCAGTGATTTGCAATAAGCTAAATTTGTCAATGTTAAAAACATATTTTTGTGCTTCTGAAAGATTCTGTGATACTAATTTTGAGAGTTGATAGTAAGTCAGAGATTAAGAAACATACAGATTTTGGACTAAGTCAAGTTATGAGCACCTTGGAATTAACATTGACTTATGCTGAACTAGAGATGCTTAAAGGCTGTCTCAGTGTTCCAGTTAGAGCCCTCTTAAAGAATTTAAAATCTATATGGTGACTGCACCTATGGTTTACAGAAGTGCCAGAAGACAAATGGATCTTTCACTGCTTGGTATTAATATTTACAAGTAGTGCATTGTTAGAGAAGAACATATTAATAAAAGGAAAAAAAACAAAACAAAACAAAAACAAAAACCAAGGATAATGTACAAAAAAAGTGTTTTTGCTTTACTATGTGGACTTTTTTTTAATTATATGGATTCAAATCAGTGTCCTTTTAAAATAAGTGGTATTTCACGAGAAGTGAGAATTATGTCCTTTGTTTTTAGGTTACAAGAGAATTTCAGTTTTCTTTATAGTTAACAATAGTGATTCTTAAAATAATTGCACAAAATATTTCAGGAAGTATTGAATTTGTCTGTGGTTGAATTGATATCAGTTAGCTTAATCCCACTGATGTTGACACTTACTCATTTCTGTCAGTAGAGGCTCAGTTTCTTTCTTTTATTTAGAAAAAATCCAGGAGGCTACTTTCCATGTTCTTCAATAATTCAATTATCATATCAATTTGCTTATTTTCACTGGAGATACTGCTTTTTCTCCTAGGACAAGAAGGACAAAGTCTCAAGATTTGACACTATACGTCATTCCATAGCTGGAATTATAAGGTCTCCAAAATCCATGTTGGGGTCATCGTCTGTAAGTAGTATCAATAATGTAGTCTTGTACTACATTCTGTTATTTCTGCAGCTTAAGTAGGATTTTTTTTTTCTGAAGCATCATGCATTTCCATCTGCATGGGCAAAAATTATATTAAAATAATTTTGTAAAAACACTGTTCTGGTTGATCAGTGGACATGATAATATCGTAGTGTAATAGTATGTCAGAACAACTTGTTGCACTTTAGGGAAAAAAAGATCATTTGTATGTTCTTTGGAGCTCCCAGACTGTGCTCTGCTTTTAAGTGTACTCTTCCCAGTGAGTCTCTTTTACTGAAAATACAGTGTATTATGCTATTCAGATGGTCATGCATCTTTTACTCATTGTTGCAATAGTTATATTCCTCATATTTCACATAAAGGCACCAGTAAATAAGTATATTATTATTGTTATTAATACTATTACTGCTACTACTTCCTCAATAACTGGTACTATTTAAGTAATTAGATATTATACATCTTTCTTGAATCCCCACTAAAAATGGTTGTTGAATATCTTTTACTTCTTGTTGGCTTTTGTTCAGGTTCCCTAATGGATGGAGAATCACCTTTGTTTCTTTTGCTTTTCTATTACCTCTGTTTTGATATAGAAGCTTGCAAGACTAGTTAGAATACTTGCATATCTCCTTAGGGAGGTGGCAGATTTTACTTGAAAGCCTTCCTGCTGTATTTTTCTCTAGTGAATCATGATCATCACAAACCTTCCAACCAAAAAGGCCCGTAAAATAATGAAACAAAAAAAACCTACCAAACCTCCCCCTAAGCAACCCAAAAATATGTTTGTCAGGAGTTTAAAAACTTTTTAAAATTGCCTTTTAATTGTGATCTTGCCACCTGAAACATTAGCTCAAAATAACATTTTTGAGAGAACTTTAGAATGAATGGACCTTCTATTTTATGCTGCAGGATTGCATCCAAGGACCCATTAAACTTTAAGCTAAACAGTGTTCAGAATGTGTGGAAGAGATTACAGTTGCATATATATGTATACATATATGTGTATATACATGTGTATACACAGGAAAATTGTATGTAGTGATAAAGTAGTGGAAAAATAAATATGATAGAGATAAAATTAGGACAGGAAGGCTTTTCCAATGAAAAATGTGAAAGTTGCATGACATATTTGAAAAGTAATAGGAAACCCCCTGCTAAAATATTAAAATATCCCTGGAGATAAACAAAATTTCCACATTATCATGATCTTTGGTTTATAAAACTTCTATTTGATGTAAAAATGCAACATTTAATAATAAAAGCATATTAAAATGTATATTGCTGTGACCTCTGTTCTTTGTGTGAGACATAGACATCAGCTTTGTCTATTTGTATGTGTTACATAACTTGTTACAATTTTTAAAATAAAAATAAAAATACTGCCTAAACCTGCTCCAGAGAAAAATTGGAAGAAGAAAAATTTCAAGAGGATCAAGATAAAACATTTAAGTTGAAATCAGGGGAAATCAATGTCAAAATTTTCATGGGCTTTAATTAAAGGTAATTTTAAATAACGTATGTGCCTCATCTTGATTTTCATTCCAATTTATATCACTACTAATTCCATAGCAATTGATGTGCACCTGGGTGTAGATATATGTTAGGTAAGATTGCTGAAGCCTTTGAATACGTTTAGGAGAATTAAGATTGGAATTGGGTCATTTGATATGGAAAATAAAATCTGAGTAACAAGTGTACTCTTGATTACCTATCACTTAAATAAGCTTCAAAGTCAGAATAAATAAACCAATTAATTTTCAGTTTTGCTTTGTGTTTTGATTTAGTGATTTTGTGTGTGTTAGGAAAGCTAACCATGAATATATGGCTAAAATTTGCTTCATGAATTAGTATTTAGCTCTTAATGTCATCAGCTGCTCAGCTTTTTCCTGCTGACAATAGCATATCCATGGTTATTGTTAAATGTATAAACTATCGCTTAAAACTTACTATCCATCAACATAGTATATGAAGTGATTACTGAAGGTGTGTTATAAAATAATAATAACATACATTAATGATTTTGTTATTATTTTTAAATAGCCCAGTACAAAAACAGATCTCAAAGCAGAGTAGGAAAAGGACTGGTACTGATCCTCTGACAGAGTATAGTCTAAAAATATGATATTAACTACTTGCTTTCATATTATATGTTTTAAATGTATTAAAACTTTAGAAGTGGAGCCATATCTTGATTTAAATGTAGTGTTACTCTAAAAACAATATCCTGTATTTAATTGGTGGGAGAAGTTGAATTTTATGTGTAATTAGAGAAAACAAATCGGTTTTGTGTCATCTGAAGAAAGTCATAGAGAAACCACGTACTTCCAAAAGCAGCTAGGAGTTTAACTGTTAATTATGTGTTGACACTTAAATGATTTACATGTTCTCAGAAAGAGAATGTAAAAGATAATATGGTAAAAAAAGTATGTTTTGAAGAGAAAACAGCAAGGTTAGGGATTCAGGTGGCTTCTCTTGGGTAAAATGCAAGCCAGTTTTCTATAATAGGAAGAGACAGAGATTTAATCAAATGAGGAGAGAAAACACAAGGGCAACCTTCATGTACCTGTAATGCAGTGCTGTGAGTAAACTGAATGAAGCGTCTGAATGAATTGCAGCATGATTGCCAGCTTCTGCCCTCTGCCTATTTTTTTTTTGCTGCTTGAGGCATTTGAACTGAGCACAGACAACTGTTATTGTTTATAGTATAACTTTTCTATTGTTTATAGGATAACAGGTGGAATTAATGTTGGCTTCATAGGGTATATAAGCATGTGGGAATGAGGCAGGTACACTGAGGCTAAAGGCAGGATATTCCATCGGGAATTGTCTTCAATTATCAACCTTAATGTATTGCTTTACTTTCTCACCTATGTCTGTGCCCCTCTTTTACACCGGGAGAGAAAAAATGTCTTGGCTAAATGTTTTGTTTGCATACATATGGAAAATAAGGAAGTATGCAGAGTTTGAGTTCAGGATATATATGAAAATACAATACTGAGTAAGCTGTTAGTTTAGTAAAATATAATTCCCGTTATTATTTTCTTTTCATTGACAATATAAGTACAGGAATATCTGATTTTTTGGAGTTAGAAATAATACACTGCTGTTTGTTCAGTTTTTGTCTTGAATAAGGGCAGTAGCAGGGGACTGCTTCATATTACTGTTGGAGAAAAACTGTTGTTTCAATGTATTGTTAAATACAGAGAGAGAAGGGGACTCAGAATAAGTAAAGAGGACAGTACTAGGTCCTTAAGGAGCATTATGAAGTGTATGAGGTCATTTCCCTCCTCTCAGAAGGAAAAGTGTGATGAAGTGTGTAAGGACATATAGGTGTATCTCATCCAAATAACCCATAGATGGAATATGGCAATATATGGAAATCTTGAAGGAAAAAGACAAAAAAAGGAGCAGTTGGGAGGAAGAGTAGAAATTCAACAGCATGACTTCCTTTTCTTCTGAGTGATTCTGTTCTTTATTTTTAGATTCCAGTCAAATTAACAACAAAAATCTTAGAAAAATATTTCTTCATTTAAGTTGATGAATCACTTAAGTGCTGTTGTGTGTACCTACAAATGAGCAAGAAATCTCCTCCTCCAAATGAAATTGTAAAACATTGAGGCCTAAAATGTAAACTGGTTCTTTCAGGTATCCAATTAGTTATGTAAAGTTACTTACAGATATTTAAACTCAGTAGAGTTTAAAGAAAAGAGATGGGAATTTAATTCTGTGCAGGTAGTTTATTTTCCTCTATCTTCCTTAAAGACTAACCTTGTATTTAAACAAGTTAGTTCTAACTACGAGATGCAGTAGAAACATTAGCACTAAGTGGTGTAAGCCGAGTTGAAATCAGTATTAAAATTATTATATATCTTGCATTCGTACTGTTTTTTCTGGACTTTCAGTTATGTTTTCTTTCCTAGCCAGTCAGGGTGAGGTGAATATTATATCATACAGAAAATACGCCAGAGTCAGATGACCTGTTCATAAAAATAATGCAATTTTAATAACACTCAAAACGTGAATAATTACTGCTTTTTTCATCAAGAAACAACCTTGATTATGATTGCCCCATAGCATACAACAAAAAGGAAAGGTAATGTAAGGTAGGAGATAATCAGCAGAGGATACTTTGTAGCATTTTAATTGTTTCCTTCTAAAGCAATAAATACTACTTTAACCAAAATTTTTAAAAAGGGGGAAGATTGATGTCAGTGTCATAAACAATGCAGTAGTTAGCAATGTCTAAAATGCTATGTTGCTCTTCTGTAAGTTCTTTCTCTGTCATGAAGGCTTTTAAGATGTTTTATTCTGGGTCGTGATCATGATTGCCTGAACAGTGACTCAGATCCAATGCAGTTCAAACATAAGCAGATGTTATTATCAGGTGGCTTCCTCTTTAGTAAACTATAAAATGACTTGCATGTCAGATTTTTTTATTTTTCTGTAGCCTTCTTTTATGAAGACCATGAACTAGTTTATTGACCCTGAGCTGTCCTTTTATCCTTAGAAACATTTCCTCTCAAGTTGAAATGTGCTTCTGTGGCAAAGGCTACTCTGTGCCCCTTAAGATTTCTTAAAGCTGAGTTTTCTGGTGATTCAAACGTGTCATCTTTGAACAATAAATGTTCAAATAAATAACATTTTCTAACATTTTGAAGGCTTATTTTTTCTTTTAGGAATTTCTGAAAGAGAATGTCTTAGTATCATTTAACAGTCATAGACAGCTCTGATCTGTGGTGTATTTAACTGTTTGTGAAATTGATATGTATGATGGCCTTCTTGGCCAAACAATATCTTGTTCATTATGCTGATAAACACAGTACCTTGGAGTTCATCTTTTGCTCCTAAAAAGTAGAGTTTTCCTCAGTGTTTTCTTAAAAAATGCAAGCTTGTTAAAATTAATATGTGAAATTGTAGGTTAAAACTCATTTACTTTCATTTATAGCTAGTGAAAATAATTTCTTACAATCTTTGTGCCTTCAGAAACTCTATGCTAAAGTTCATCCTTTATAGCTGGGTGTATATTCTGTGCTACAGTGTAAATGTCTCATAGAGCTGTTAATTCATTTAGGATGCAAACGGTAAATTCTGTGAAAACAATTTATGCAATTCAAATGCTTTTACAAAAATCAATTCCTAATGTTTTTTTTTTTTTTGTCTAAGAAATTTCTGTCTGGATAAAGAAATGGTTCATTTTGAATTGTTTTTAGTAGCACATCACAACATGTGAGAAAAAGTTGGTCAACATGGCTCAGGAAAAATATCAGGCCAAGTGAAATATAGCTTTATGAACGCTTCCATTAACGTCTGCTTTTTAGATATTAATTTTGTAGGTAATAGAAAAGAAGGTGATCAGTATGCCTTTTGTGTAGATGTAAGAGCCTTGATTTTGTATGTTAATAGAAATATATAATCTAGATACAGATATAGAAATTATTGTTTATCATGCTTTTCATGTAAGAGTGAACTCTAAAACTGTACTGTTATAGTAACACTTTTCTTCAATATTTTTCCCAAGTTCTTTGATGTAATTTCAACCACTGAGAAACCATTGGCTGAGCAAGACTGGTATCATGGTGCAATTCCAAGAATAGAAGCCCAGGAGCTGTTAAAACAGCAAGGAGACTTCTTGGTGCGAGAGAGCCACGGGAAACCTGGTGAATATGTCCTTTCTGTGTTTTCAGATGGACAACGGAGGCACTTTATCATACAATATGCTGATGTACGTCTCTGATACACTACTGAATATTCAATGTTAGGAAGTTTATAATTTCAGCTAAACAGTGTAGGATCTACATAATCTATTATGGAAAATGGCTTTATATAAAATTCTGAAAGCTGTTGGAAATATTTCCATCAGTGCTGAAATCAGGGGAAAATGACATTTTGGGAAACAAAGGAAAAATATGAAATATGAGGTTATTCAACATCTTTTATCTTACATGGAAAAGCCAAGGTAAAAAAAATGTAAAAGTTTTGAAATCCAGAACTTGTTACTCCTAATTTATGCATGGACATTTATTTATTTTTAAACTAATTTTCATAGTTGGTCCTAATTAGGCTACTTTTAAATCAGACTGTAAATATTCCATTGAATTTTCCTGAAAAATGGAAACATCACGTAGAAGAAGATAATCTGTGGTGGTTTCTATACAGTTGGGAATTGAAGCTACTGCTGCAGTAGAGATGCTTAAGTTCTTTTTAGCCCTATGGGTATTGTTTTGTTTAGTATAACACAAACACTTGTGAATGTTGCACAGCATGTATGCTACTACAGACTGGAACTGATCCCCTTGTTGCTCTAAGTTAGGAAAAATTGGTCATTTTAAAGATTATGTTAGTTTTTATATGCCTTTATCCAATGTATTCTTCCTAATGCATTACTTTTTTTTTATATATATATGTATTTTTTTACCTTTCTGAATTTCAAACTCATTCAAAATGTGGCAGTTCTCATAGCATTACTAGAAAGTCTTCTTGAAGAGTGCCATAACAGCAAATAATTTTCAGTTTTCATTCAGTAATGCTGACAAAACATTTTTCAGTCTCTTGTAATAAAATTTCCCACTCACAGAAAAATACACAAATTTAGTCACATAACAATGTTTACACCAAGGGAATTTCTGTGTCTAAGTCCCCAGCTGATGCAGTGTGTCTGGAGGAAGTTAGTACTGTGTACCTGGTTTATTTCTTTTTAACAAGACACAGTGATATTTTTCAGACTTCGTAGAAGTTGGAAGGCTTCTGTAGGATCAGTGATTATGGACACTTGTTCTTCTGGAGTTCTCATTAATTTTCACCTAGAGTTTTCCTTGTAGAAGTGAACCTTTATATAAAATCAGTGTTCATTTTATTTTGATTTTATGAAGCTGAAGTATTTTGGTCAGAGTTCCAAATGAGAAAATAAGAGCAATAAAATTTCCTGTACCTAGTCACAGAATCTTACAAGATGCTTGGAGCAGTCTGATCCCGATCCAGTAGAAATGAATGCATATTGTATACTTCATGTGGCTGAAATAATTTTGTGTAAGTCATTGTATGTGGCAAGTAGATCTTCAAAAAATGTAGATTACACTTTCAAGTCAGTTAAAATAGAGGGGTTTTTTCATAAGTATTACTTTGAGGCCTGCCTGTAAATTAACTCCTTTTTTGTATTTTTTTTTTTTCACAAAAAAAAAAAAAAATTAAAAGCTATCTTTATTTCCATAATTTCACTACACTCTTAGAAATTACATTTGAAATGTAACACTAACATTGTTTAATATTGCATAGCTTGGACGGTCCAAATATCATCAGGTCACTACATCTGTCTGCTTGTACATTTAGTAATAGGGCGTTATGTTCATCTGCTCGTGGATTCATGACAGATTTTCTTGACAATCATGGAAGTTAAAAACTTTTTTCTTAAAGAAATGCACAACTCCTTATGTACTTCTCTGGGGTGAATTTTCTGCATTTATGGTGAAAAAAGCATTAAATGTAAAAAGAGAAAAAAATTATTGAGCTCTAAAAAGGAGTTAGTAGATGGTGGGGGTGTTATGGTCATATAACAAGAGGCATTGTATGCATGAACATTTTGGTAGGGAAGTTTGTGGACAGTTTAGTGTAAAGGATTTGTTTGTTTTCATTGGTATGAACAATGTGGAATCAGGTCTCTGTGACTAGTCAAATCACACTCTTGGATCACTGACAGGTCCCCATATGGAGACTAAGCTTGTTGTCCATATACAAATTTTCTTCTGAATCATATACTAAAGTACAGAGTGAAACATAAACCTGTTTGAACAGTGTTCCTATAATTGCATGAGTACTCTCTCTCTGGTTTTACCATTATTTTAAAGGCTAATCTTAATAAAACTATGTGTGTGATGAATGAGTTAATCATTCAGCTTCAAGCATCAAAATTCACTGCGGTCATTCAAGACTAATGCTGTTTTTCTCTGCTGCTTATTTGAGGCTGTATTATTTTCAAATTGTTGTTTGTTAGTGATCACAGAATCATAGTGATTTGTGTTGGAAGAGACCTTAAAGATCATTTAGTTCCAATCCCCCTGCCATGGGCAAGGACACGTTCCACTAGATCAGGTTGCTCAAAGCCCCATCCAACCTGACTTTAAACACTTCCAGGGAGGGGCCATCTACAACTTCTCTGGGCAACCTGTCCCAGTGTCTCACCACCCTCATAGTGAAGAATTTCTTCCTAATACCTAATCTAAATCTACACTCATTCAGTTTAAAACCATTACCCCTTGTCCTACCGCTACACTCCCTGATAAATAGTCCCCCCTCCATTTTTCTTGTAGGACCCTTTTAAGTACTGGAAGGCCTCTCTAAGGTCTCCCTAAAGCCTTCTGTTCTCTAGGCTAAACAGCCCAAATGCTCTGAGCCAGTCCACATAAGGACGGTGCTCCAGCCCCCCTAATCATATTCATGGCCTCCTATGGACCCACTCAAGTAGGCCCATGCCCTCCTTATACTTGGGGCCCCAGAGCTGAACAAGGTAGTGCAGGGAGGGGTCTCACAAGAGCAGAGTAGAGGGGGGTGTCACCTCCCTCGACCTGCTGGCCACACTGCTCTTGATGCAGCCCAGGATGCTGTTGGTTTTCAGGGCTGTGAGTGCACATTGCCAGCTCATAGCTAGTTTTCCATCTACTAGTACCTCCAAGTCCTCTGCAGGGCTGCTCTCAATCTACCCTTTGCCCAGCCTGTATTTGTGCATGAGATTACCTTGACCCATGTGCAGGACCTTGCACTTGGCCTTGATGAACTTCATGAGGTTTGCAGGGGCCCACCTCTCGAGCCTGTGAAGGTCCCTCTGGATGGCATCCCTTCCCTCCAGTGTGTTGACCACACCACGCAGCTTGGTGTTGTCAGTGAACTTGCTGAGAATGCGATCAATCCCATTGTCCGTGTCTTCAGCAAAGATGCAAAATGGCACTGGTCCCAATACTGACTGCTGAGGAACGCCACTCATCACTGCTGTCCACTTGGACATTGAGCCATTGACTACAACTCTCTGAGTGCGGCCATCCAGCCAATTCCTTATCCACCAAGTGGTCCATCCATCAAATCCACGGCTCTCCAATTTAGAAACAAGGATATTGTGCAGGGCAGTGCAAAACTAATGATCTTAATAATGGTCAGGATCCTGTGTAAATACAGAGAATCAAAGGACACTTTCTGCCCTGAAGGTCTTTATACACAGATGGCAGCAGATGGGCAAGTGGCTGGATGTGGGCTTGGGAAATAACACGCAGTAATGGTTGTTGTGCTAGGGAGACTCTTAGGACATCGGGTTTTTTGGACCATCTGCACAGAAATATGAAGGAGCTTATTTGAAAGGAATGGAAACTAGTGTTACTAGTCAGTCAAAGCTGAGTCACTATTTAATAAGTGAGTGAAGTTAAACAACAAAATAAACAACAACAAGTATTCAGACTAAAAACATTTTTATGATAGAGAATCAGGTATGTTAAAAATTGTTGACATGACCAAATTTCTTTACCGACACCATATTTACTGTGCAAGGAATTTAACCCTGGGGGCTAGAAAGAAAAAAGTCGACAAGCCAGTGGTGGAGGTTTTCATCGCCCAGTTGTGTAAATGAACTTGTATCTCAGTCTGTGCTTTGAGGTTTTTATAATTGCAATACTTGTTTATAGTTGCCATTGTCAGGCTGGTTTATGACAGTTCCTCTCTTGCGAGAAGACTTCTCTAACTGTAGATGCTGAGTCTTGTATAGGCACAAGACTTTATCCTGTTTCCCAATCAGCTGTAGTGTATAATTTAAGACATTCAAGAGGATTAAATGAGCACTTCCTTACTATTTTTTTCCCTATTAAGTGTATGGGCAAAGATAAGCAATGAAAATGCATTTTTTTCCCCTTGATACCTGAAAGGATGGTATGTCATAGCAGTTGTTGCTAAGAAAATGCTACATGCTTCTAAGAAAATACTAAGATTTAATAGTTTCCATTGTGTTCAATTATGTATATAAAAAGAAATAAATTCATGAAGCGGAGACAAATTTTGTCTTGTCAAACTTTTCTATGAAGTATATGCTTGACCTGCCTTTGTTTTTAGCTCTGTGCCAGGGATTTATTCATTTATCAAACATCGTAAATGCAGTAAGATCTGAGTAGGATTGTGTTACTTACCTCTTGTTTATTTTATTGTCAGATGTTTATTTTTTAATTGGTTTTCTTTAGTTCTTAGAACTTTAAGTAACTAGGAATTTAGTGTTGTTTTTTCTGGTTTAGAATATTTTATTTCACTCTGTCAGAGTTTTAAGTTTAACTGTCCTTTTTCTTGAAATTAACACTTTAAATAAATAGCTTTTTTATCATGTTGCCTTAAATGAGTGATGCAGTAATTTTGCATTTATTAATTTATCCTCTTCTTAACTATCATTCCATTTAATTCAATCGAAATGCTATTAAATGTATCAGGAAAGAAATCTAGTTCTGTAAAAGTGACCATTTCTTTGTTTTGTTACTATTGAGGGAAGCATGGTGATGCCCTGTTGCAGTTTCTTGTTCAAAATATTGCTTTTAGAGAAACAATTATTTCCTTTTACCTCCATACAGAATCAGTATCGTTTTGAAGGAACTGGGTTTCCAACTATTCCTCAGCTCATAGAACATCATTACACAACAAAGCAAGTTATTACAAAGAAATCAGGTGTTGTTCTGCTGAATCCTGTTGTTAAGGTAATCCATACATTCCAAGAACTCTATTTAACTGAGAAGAATTGAAGGGGGGGAGTTTATATTGTTATTTAAAATATATTCCTGTGCAACTTCTCAAATTTTTCATTCTTGCTCATTTTGTCACTGTTTTTCTGAGCTTTTTCAACATTTTCTGCTCTGTGCAACATGTTTCTTTAAAATAACATTCCATCCCAATTCTTGTAATAAATATTTCCTTTCTTGAAAGAATGGCATTCAGCATCTCATAACATATCCTCTTATTTTCTTTTTGGTTTCCTATTTGTATTTCACTACTAAGGAATTGAAAGCAGTAGTACATTGCCCATAAAGGTGTGATGAATAATTTTTTTTTTTTTCATAAAATGATGGTCTAGAAGTGGTAAAGTTCCCATGAAATTTGGAGGAATTATGACAACTCTTTATCTCTATTTTATATCTCAGAAGTAAGTTATACAGACATGGAAAAAGGTACTGTCATTCCAGCATCATTGTAAACTTCAAATAAAAATCCCCCTTTTAATCAATAAGCTATTGCAGGAAGTCCTCCAGGAGGGAAATTAAAAGAGATAGAAATATTAAACTATATCACTGTTTAGAAAGCTTAAGAATCTCCTTGGCTTCTTCCAGTAGTTTTGCAGTTAATATCTGCCTAGTTGTTATTTCATTCATAAGACAACAATTTTGTACTTAAGTATTGCATTTTAATTATGAGTAGGCCATTTGTTATTGATTTTTTTAAAAAAGACTGGTTTCAAGCATGTGTAAAGCACCTTCTGTGTTCTATAGACCTTTAGAAAGCATAACAACATATAGTTTCCTACTCCAAGGTCCTAGTTCTTTTCTACTAATAATTGTAAGAAATGAAAGTATATTCCCTTTCTCCAAATTAATATGATTTGTTTACACTTGTCTGTGCTTACCCATTTCATATAATTTTAGAATTGAAAGAATGAGGTTTTGCAAATACATATTTTAGGTTAATGTCTTGCTGACAACCAAACTGACACTTTACTGAACATAAAATATTGCTTAAATTCATTGTAGAACATATGAGAAAGCATAGAATATTATTTCTGATGTGTGGATAAATGTATTTTGATGTAAACTGTTTAAGTTAAAAATAAAGGGCTATAAAACTCAAAATTAAATCTTTTTATATCTGTTTGCAAATTTATGTCTTTTATTATACTGTATTTGTTTTAAATGTTTAATGCTCTGTTTCATGACTTTTTTCTGCCTTTGTGTAACGTACATACTGTAAGAGCAGGCCTGTTTTAGCAAATGTAAAACTATATTGCAGTATGTTACTGCATACTAAATGATAACAGAACTTACTCTTAGTTTTGCTGTGTTAAGGTTAAAGAGGAAAACATCGTCTGGAAAACATCTTCTCTTCATTCCCTGTTTTTAATTTGAAGACAGGGAGCTCCATATTCCTGACATTTTTGTTTCATTTGGCTCTTTTATTTATAAAGTTAAGTTTTCATTTATGTATAGTTTTATATAACTATGTATGGTCAAATAATTTTTCTAGTACATATTCTGTGGAAGAAATATGGTCCCAAATGACCTTCCTGATCACTTCTCCATTACTGTACTTGATCTCATCATCTTTGAGGTGTAAATGCACATAAGGGTATGCTAAATCCTTTGATGGTAACCACGCAGACATGTATGACTGTGTGGTATGTCTTTCCAGGACTTGAATCCATACCATCACCACTACATTCAGATGTATCATAACCCCCTTACAAAATGATGGAGGACAATTTCTAAGACAGACTTTTTCTACTGTCACTGGTTGCAAAGTCAGTTTTTTGGTTTTCTTATTTTCAGGGGGAAAATGAAGTGGACCCACTTCTCTCTGGTCTTGTTGACTTGAGTTAGTCTTAGTATTAACTTAGATTAGTGGAAATACTAACATTTCATCTAGGATCATGTTAGTTTTATGACTAGTTGGTTGATGATTTGAGCTGCAGTGCGCAAGTAATTTGACTACTCAGGTTTCCCAGAATGCTGCAAGTAATCGGCATCTATCCATAAAATCCAATCACCCAGGCTGTATTTATCTCATTGTATGACTGACTTTGTGCTGGTGTGCATCAGTCTTAATATTAAAGAGTATTTCCTTTAGGGTTAATGGACTTTTCAAGTTTCGTTCTGATAGGTTATTTGAATTAATGGAAAGGATGTCCATGGTAATACTGACTGTTAGTGCTGAGAGTATTGGGTTACAGGAATCTTTATTATAAAAGGGGTTTTTAAATATCCATATTACATATATTGTGTGTAGGTTTTCAAGAATTTATGAAATATAATCTGAGTGACTAATAGCTACTTATACTTTGTGTGAACTAAACCCAACGTAGAGTGTACTCAGTGCTTCATGACCAGCAATTTGAACCAAATTAAACAGTATTGAAAAGGTTGTTTGCTACATGGTGTAAATTGCTGCTTTAGAGCAGCTGTTTTATAAAATATTTAAATTGTTTTGTTTTGGAATACCTTTTGGTTTGAGCTATATTTTATGATGATTTTAGTTCTCCCATCTGGTAAAAACTAATTATTTCAAAAAAGTATTTCAGAATTAAGGAAAACTGTTATGAGCTTTCCTTTTTAATTTGCATGGATCTCTGGCTTTCATATGGGGAAGTGGAGATGTATTAAGGTGTTTTCAGAAACAGCATATGCACTCTGACACGTAGTGTTGGGGGTATTTTATGCATTGTGCTATTATCAGCATATCTTTGATCATTTCCTTAAAATTCATTTGACATCTGCAAAGACTGTTTTTTCTTTCTTCCTATTATAGCCGCAAAGCAGTCTTTGATGTTTTGTACAATCTTTAATCTTTTTATGCAAATTGCTGTCCCTGTAATAACTGATTTAGAAAGTGAAAGTTAAATATGACAGAAAACTTCACAGAAAAAAAATATTCTGTGTAGTTTGCTTTCCTTCCTTCCCTCAGTCATTCATCCTCCTTTACTGTATTAGTAAAATTAGTGTTCACCTTCTGTGACGTTGCCCTTGAAAGGGACAGTCTTAATTGTGTCACAAAAGGCCTGGCCTGGCCCACATCCCATTTCATGTAAACCAAGTCTGCCTGCTTGGAATTTTAATGATACTCTGATAATAGAATTTAAATAGGAAAAACTGAGGCCATTAAAAAGATATCTGCAAGTGATTTCTTTAATGGAAAACTCTCTCATATTTATTTATAATCTTTTAGAAAAAATGCAGTTTATGTTCTTCAGCTTATCATTGATGGAATGGCTGGTACATAAGGCCCCTGAGTAGGCTCAGTGCATACCTGAGGACTTGTAGAAATGCTATTTTAACCATATTACATATATTTTAACTTTCTAACATCTTTGATCTCATGTTATGGCAAGCAATTCAGTTATTGCAATTTTTCCTAGGCTAGATTTGTAGCTCCAAAGAGGATCCCACTGTGAATTACCTGCGTGGTACCCATCCATCTGGCCAGGCTTGTAGGAATGCCAAGCAGCACCTGGTAGTCATGGTGTCTATGTGTTGATTTTTGCCCCAAAGCTGTAATTGTCATGAGCATGATTAAAGTCTGATACATGCATTTTTAAATGTTGAAATATATCTTTTATTTTTTCTAAGGAAGTTAAATCCACAGTAAGAAGTGACAATTTATAATACGTAAAAAATGTACTAAGAGAAAATGACTGTATTTATTTCATAAGCGTGAAATGACTCTTTTGCCACTTATTTGCCACTCAGTATTATTATTTATGATCATGCAGAAGGCCTGTGATTCATATGTCAGTGAAATTGGCAGTATTTTTTAAGCAGAATTTAGGCAGATTTTCAGTAGGTTCTTTAGTTTAATTCTGAAAGCTGGAGAAAAGCCTGCATCTGTTGATATTTGGTAACAGAGTTTCACATCTTAGTATTAGAGATGCATTTCAGTTATGTTCCTATGTCCTCAAAATTTAGAGGTGTTACAGGATTTGCTTTTAAGGTTTTTTAGCAGAGAGGGTTGCAGTAATTCTGTCAGGTAACAGAAGGAATACATCCTCCATAACAGTGTCCTGTACTTGTCAAGGTGTTGCATCCTAATGAGAAAAGGGAAAAATTAAAGTCATTTTGTGCTAGCAGAGAACTAAACCAAATTTGTGTATAATTTCAGGTTTCCTGCCTACTTCTACAATTTTTTCTCAAAAAATCTCTTAAAAATATGTTATAATAATGGAGGCACATAAGGCTACCTGAACAAAGAGTACCAAAGATTATTTTATATCCAGTGATCAAAGTTTTCTGTAGCTTTTTTCTAAAGGCCATGACATTGAAAATCTGCTCTTATTAATATTAATATTTCTTATTAATATTTCTGGTTCAGTCTTGTCTTTATGGTATTTCTTTCCATGATCACGTTTAGAATAAAATTGGAAGATAATACTCTTAAAGGGTGTAAGCATTAGCTTATGCTCACACCTAGAAAAAAGTACATTTTGTGAAGTAAACACATTTTAGCAAACAAAGTGTCATTGTTGAGCAACCTCTTAAATAAAAATCTCTGTCCTGAAAATATTAAGTGAGCACTTCAGCTGCATGTGCATTCCTGGTTTCCATACATTTATATTAAAAAATAGAGTGCCATATTGCAATGTGGGATGCAAATTGAGAAAAAGGAATTACCTCAAACACAGCTGAAACAGTAGAAGGTAGGAAAAAGAACCAAAATTTATGAAGCAGGAGATGGAAGTGCTCCATTCTTAATAAAAAAAATTTTAAAAAGTACCTTGTTAGGAGGGAAAAAAAAATATTAAATGGAAGATCTCAGAGGAAGGGTTTTCTGACAAAAACTGGTAACTAGGAGAGTAAATTATTTCGATTAAAGCATCCTTCAGCAAAGATAATTTGGATATACCTGACTTTATTGCTAACATTTTGTGTATTCATGTGAAAATCAAAGGATTGGCTATGTTCTATAGTATTCTGGGTGTAAGTCACACTTTATGGGACACTTG